CAAGGTTTCTAAGGAACCCTCAGCATCACTTTGTTCAATGCTGAAGTGTTATGCTAAGTATTCCCACCTGGAATTTCACCTGTCTGGTTTGTGAGTGCCGAGTGGCAGATAACTGGATGTTTTGTTAGCTAGAAAGGCTGGCTTCATGTCCCAGCAAATTCTGCAGACAATGTCTCTTACTGACATTTATGAGATGCACGTTTCTGCATTGCGAATACTGACCAATGTGATTGTTCTGAAAATCCCTTTGTCCTTTGAGCTATTCCAGGTACAAAACTATGGAAAATTCATGGTTTCCCTAGCAAACAGCTGCTGGCCACACAGGTGCACAAACACTGAATGACAGCAAGCAGAGTCAAGGATGCTTGTATAGGGACAGGTAGCAAACTCCAAGAAACTGCATAAGCTTCGCTTTTTCAGAAAAGTAGATGGATAAAATATGGTTGCAAAAGATTGATTTTTGTGGATGAGGACAAATGCAGTAATGCACTTTCCATGGGGAATTTTCTGTGCACTTTCTAATAAAGGTATGTGAATTAATGCACATCTTTTGTGATATATAGACAAGGAAAGCACAACCCCCCGTTCAGTCTGGAGCATCGCCCTGATTAATGCACGCTGACGTGTGCTTCTAATTTGGTGGTTCCTGACTGGGGACCACAGCATGGAATCCTAATGAGCCGTGGGGCGACGATCATCCATCTGAGGCGTGTTGCTCTCATGTGGTGCTTGATGCTTGTGGTAACTTGAATTTGGGTTGTGTTGGTACCTCGCTCTGGGGCAGAACCTGCTCAGTGGCTTCAGAAAGATGTCGTGGTTGTACTTGCATTCTCCAGACACTGCTGGACGGGGACGTTCAGGTGATGCTGGGGCAATTAAGTGCATTTCTGTGCTTTGAGATGGCAGTAAATAAAACCTCTCCTGTTGGCTCGAGCTTAAAGAAGGCCGTTGGATAAAAATCCAGCTTGCACACAGGAGTAGTAGTTGTGCCCGTTCTGGCTGGGGCTAAGCTGGGGTTAAAAGTGTTGATTCTCAGGTGATAAAATTTTACATACTGTTCTTTTCTTATATCTGCCTCAAGATGGAAATCTGCCAAGATTAGGTATTGCTGAGATCACACTGAGCCTTTTTCCTGTTCAGTGAGATCTGTCATGTTACTGTCCCACCAGTCCTTTATAGCAGTCGGTGTGCAGAATGCTCCCTGCTATATTATGTCCCGGCTCCTCCAGGAGAGAGCTATTAAAATTACGCTGTGGTTCAATTACTTTATTTCCCCACTTGACCTCTCGCTTTACCTGCTCTTTGATGCGGGCCAGATTGCTCCCGTTAGACACTTGCCATCTTGGTTTTCCTATATTCGGTAAGAGAAAAGTCCTGCCAGCCTGGAAGGAAAAATTTTCAGTTTATCTTCCCAAGCTTGGAGCTGCTTTCCAAGATCCAGGGATCAGAGCTTGGCTGCTGAACTTACATACTTCATCTGCTCAGGCCTATCCATGATGCTGGTATACAGGCTTTATCCCACCACAGTTATTCCAAATGTTATCCCTCTTCTTGTCAGCCCTTCAATGCCTCCTAATTCCTTGCTATAAGAAGGGCAAGCTACTTTTTTTTTTTTTTTTTTTTCATCCTCAGGAACTTCCTTGGCTTAGTGGAACCAACTTTATGGCCTTTCATATAACTGACCAATGGCAGATATCTATCGTTGTCTCTTTTCCTATAAGGATGCAGAAAAGGGAAGCAAAGACTTTTTTCTTCCATACTAATAAAGCTCCAGACATGACAAAATGAGTAGAAATTTTAGTCAATATACATGAAACGGGCAATAAATGACACTGTGGCTCCACAGAGCAAGTTAAACTTTCATACTGAAATGCTCAGCTGCAGTAAATGAGAGCTGCTCCTTCCAGCCAAGTACGATTTCGGCCCAAGGTGTTTGCCTTCTAAATTATTATTTTTTAATATGGGTCCTGATGATAGCAGTTTAAATAAAGTTCTGAACTCATCTATTTTATTCTTAATTTATAGTGGTGCTTAGGGGATGTGCGGATATTTAAAAAGAGTAAAATCAATTAACTCATGATCCAATTATTTGTGTTAGCCACTGTGGGGTTTTATTTTAGAGCACTGAATCAGCTTCTCCTGGTTAAGCACTGTGCTTTAGGAATGTAAATCTTTCATTTTGAAACATGATGAACCTGTGGTTATTTTCTCTGTGCTTGCAAATCTAATTTCTATTTTTGTGCTTGGATAGTTGTTAATTTCCATTTCTTACTTTTGTTTTTGTGAGGGCATCAGTATAAACACAACATTTTTCTGCAAGACAAGAAAGCCTAGTCTTTGTATAAAAGCAGCTAAACAAGCCAGGGAGTTTATCTTCTATATAATATATGCTGTATTTTGGGGGGCATCGCTGTTTCACAGTAGGTGTTTTTCTTTCACAAATGCAAATCTGTGATTTATTACACTTTTGAAGCTATAGAGTATGATTTCTCTGATTTGATCCTTCTGTATTTTCATCCCTCTCGAACGAGTTTGAGTCAAACAATCCAAATAGCTTCAAACACCCCCTTTGCTGATATGGCCAATTCTAACACGTGGTGACACTGCGGGTGCCGGTGGACACTGCTGGGCAGATGGAGGTGCAGCTCTGCAATTTCACGTCCCCAGCAAGTCCGTGTGCCCTTTCCGCCTTGCTAGCTCGCCGTCTCTGAAGACCCTGAGACATTTTTCTAAATAACAAGAGAATAAGAGTGCAGAAGAGAGTCAACCCCGGCTATGTTATCCCTGAATTAGAGGTTGTAAATGGCATTCAACAGTTTTTGAGCTTGGCACCTCTTGGCCATCTTTTCCGTCATAGTGTAGCATCCTCAGTGGGATGAGCGTAATAAATTAATCTCATGGGCTCAAAAGTAAAATAAAAAGATAAAATGGCTAGATTTTTGAATATATACCAGGTCTTACTGTTCCCAGCATGATTCACACTGAACACAATAAAACTGAGCAATGGATTAAGAACATGATTTTTTCCGAAGGATCAATATGAGTTATTGATCAATATGAATTAGGAACAGAGGCTTGGTCAATTGAAGGATTGGTTTCTTAAGGCTTAAGCTTCCTTGATATCTGGTTGACTTTCTACATAGCTTAGCAGGGAGCTGTTTGGTGCTGAAGACTTGCTGGGAAAATGTTTGGACCCTTACGGTTCATATGTTTTGTTTTATACATACTCGGTCAAGCTGAGATAGATGAAATAATAGAAAATATCAATCAGGCTAATTGCTTGTTTTCAATTAGAGTAAGAAGTGTCCTTTTCGGGGACAGCATTTTGCTGAGCATGATGGAACGCCATCTTGGTAATCATTGCTTTGTTATTTCCAAGATTCTTAATAGCGTACTTCTTTCGATATGTTTCAAAGTAAGCTAAAATTTGTTGCAGCCATTGTTTAAGGTTAATTGAACTGCAGATGGGTTTAATGATCTGCTCAAACCAAAGCTCAATAGCCACCTGTTACATATTAACTATCAAAATGAAAAAAACCTTCAAATTCCTTGTTAAATATACCAGAGAAGATAGAAATAGCCCATCAATTATGTCATCCTTTTATAATACCAGGTTTCAGGCTAGAAAGCTTGAAATGGATGCGTGCATTCAACTTTCACAGCTAAATTGGAAAAGGACTTGAAAACATAAGTCAAAGCTGTTGGAGGACAAAAAAAACAAAGAGGAGAGTTATCTCCTCTGTATTTTAATATCAGGAAATATCTAGATTATGAAATGTATAGATATTAACAATGTTCTATATTTTAGTTTCTGTACTCTCATAGAATTTTCTGTAATGTTGTGAATTAATGTGGTTTATGTCGGTGTTGAAGCCACTTAGGTGATTTTTGTGTCTGCATGATATACCATGCACTGTCCCTAGCAATAGAGCTTTTAGGCAGTGCACGAATGACAAAGCCTATTTGTGTCATTAAAGTTGGTACTCTTGAACTTTTGAAGCCTAGATCCCCAGAAATGCTAAGATTTCATAATCATCTAAAATGGTACTGCTGATGTTCAGCACTTCTCAGGATTAGGTATGTTATTGTTCTAGTTTATCCACCTATAAAGTGGGAATTATCTTATCCCTCATATATACAGTGCTTTTAGCATGTCAACTGCAAGTATTTGAAAGGTGAAGAGTGTTATTAAGTCTGACCCTTACAAGCTTTTCCAGTGGTTTACGTGGTGTTTTTCGTGCACATAAATAAGAATAATGCTGAGGTATGCTGTGTGACTGGATGGTAAATTACAGAGCATTTGTTCAGACAGGGCTTAGCTATCCCAATAGTACAGCAGAGCAGCAAACTTCCCAAGGTCACAACAAGTTCCTCCACCGAAAAGTAAAAGTAACCCAGACTTACAGTTTTGCAGGCAGAGCAGTAGCAGGAGCTCCAATTATTTTAGGGCCTCTAAGAGAAGAAAAAAAAAAAAAAAACAAAAAAAAAACAAAAAAACAAAAAAAAACAAGTTTTTTTCACTTTTGGTGAAAAATGTTTTTTATAGATAACAGAGTGGGGGAACTTTATAGAAAGTATATTATGAAAGGTAATAAATAACAGCAAATTAGAAGGCATGGATGGGCTGTGCTAATCAGGCTCATCTACTGTTGAGTATTGAATATAGCTTGGCTTTAGACAGTATGCACAGATATGCACTTCCCTGGTAATATGAGCTGAACTTGTGGTCACGCTCTTCCAAAGGCCTGATTCCTCTCATATTGCTGCATGTCTGTCCTCAAATAAGTAATTGGTAAGTAAAAAATAAGTAAAATAAGTATAATAAGTATAAGTAAAAAAAGCACTAGCATGGTACCCGATACATCATAGGTGACATTGCTTCTTCTTCCTGCCATGGTAAACAGCTAATGCTATTTATCTCTTTTGCTTCTTGAATACCTCTGTGCCTGTGTAGTTTTGTGGCTGAAAAAAGCAACAGTTTCCTATGTTTTATTTTCTAGTTTCAAGCCACAGTAAAGGAAGGGGTCACCGGTGTGATAGTCAACTTAACCGTGGGAGACCGGGACGACCCTGCCACTGGCGCCTGGAGAGCCGTCTACACCATTATCAACGGGAACCCAGGGCAGAGCTTTGAGATCCACACCAACCCGCAGACCAACGAGGGGATGCTCTCCGTTGTGAAGGTAAGGACCACTGCTCTTGTGCTGCACTCTTTCCTAGAAGCCACAGCCACTGGATTTACAGCTTGAGAGGAAACACAGCAAGGATATAGCCATACACATGGCTAGCAGCCCTCCTTTCCTTTGACCAACATGTATACCTCATTTTCTGTTACAATAACCATGGTTTTTTAGTGATAAGGACCTGTCCATTATAAGCTATATCGATATTGCCTTGGCTAAGCACTGGTTGGTAGAGCTCACAGGCCAGTAACAGGGAGGCTTTGCAACATGGCTTTATTTGTGGCTCAAGGCACAGCTAGGCTTCAAGGGACCCGTTTTGTTCTCGGTTACCCAGCGTGAATGCCAGGGAAGCAGGGGATGTGCCAGGGAAGGCTTCCCACTCGACTGGAGAGCAACCTTTGGTCCCACGTTTCTAAAGTTTCTGTCTGTGTGTGAAGACAATCCTGGATCTCTCACTGTTAGGAAAAAAAATAGACCTGATTGCTAGCTGTGCCAGAATTTTCTATATTTGACTTCAGAAGAGGCATTTTCAGTGCTGAAATGGACACATTTTTCTGTGACACTGCTCTTGATATATCAGTAGGAATCGAGAGAGCAGCCTTATGCTACTTATCATTCAGAACTTTATAGTATAGCTGTGTTCTGTTTGATAAATGCATATTGCATCAAAAATAAGCATATATTCATATATTTACATAAATAAGCATACATTTGTGCTCCTTTATATGTGTTTATGTACATATGTATGCATATGTGTATATACATATGAGAGAGCAAGAGCAGATGTATATGCGGAGTTATGTACTTAGTACGTGCTATCAACTGCATAATAAATCAATGAAAACACATCCGCCTCCTTCTTCAGTGCACTTTGTAACTACCGTCACGTCTAATGCCAAGTTCTGACATTTATTCCATTATTCCAAATGGAATAAATGCGTTTGTCCTTCCTGGCTAATTCTGACTCCCACAAAGTTTGCTCTGGAGTAGTAGGAAAAAAGTGTTAGGAATTCTCTTTGCCCCTTGCATTCTGATTTTATGACATGTTTTACAGCCTTTGGACTATGAGATCTCAGCATTCCACACGTTGCTGATCAAAGTGGAAAATGAAGACCCGCTGATTCCAGACATCGCCTATGGCCCCAGCTCCACGGCGACGGTTCAGATCACTGTTGAGGATGTGAATGAAGGTCCCGTTTTCCACCCGAACCCAATGACAGTGACAAAACAAGAGAACATCCCCGTGGGCAGTGTTGTGTTAACGGTTAATGCCACCGATCCAGATACTTTGCAGCATCAGACTATCAGGTGAGTGCAGTACCCTCTAATTTGTGTCTGTCAAAAACTGGCTGTGTCTTCTGTGCCTGCCAGTACAGAATTAAATTAAAGTTGTTATGGGCTCTAGATAGTAAGAAGTGGTAATTTTTTTTTCCAACAATGCAGAGATTCAGTATGAAGGAGGAAAACGCATTAGACAGGACAACAGTTTACCAGGCTATAGGATTTCTGCAGTGGAAAAACTCAGTGCCACAAGCAATAGTCACAGCTTAGCGTATAATGTTTCAAAGTGACATCCTCCTGCTTTTTTTATTCCACCCGCCTTTTATGAGATCCAGAGAATATATGTAAAAGTTGCAAACCGGTTGCAGAAATCACTTAACTGTTTGGCATATGGCTTAAGTTGATTTATGATGATTTCTAATGTTCCCTAGAGAAATAATGATCACCCATCTGTGTTCAAGAGGTGAAAAAGAGGATATACTCCTCAGTGAAACATGGGGGCTATTAGGTCGACTTATAGTTGGCCTTGCCAAGATCAGTACAAGGAAATGCTGATTTCCGTGCTATGATGAAGTAATTGCACAAATAAGCCCTTTTATGAGCAACAATTCCGTGTATTAAGTGGTGTCATTTTCCTGTATTTAGAGAATGCTGAATCTATTACAAGTCTCTTTTGTGACCCATGAGTGCTATTTTGCTAATGTAAATCTACAAAGCTTGTGTGAAGGTGCTTGTTATGCCCTATCAGGATTAGAATAAGGTAGTACTGCTTCTCAGAACTGTTAACATTATATAAGCTAACATTATTTTGTGAATTCAAAGAGTATATTGTTTTTATAGCAGAAAGTGGTACCTGCACCTCTAGAAAGTTGGGCAACATTTTTAAATGAACAGATAAATCATCTTATTTCCTACTTTCTCATTGCAGTGTATCCAATATGCATTGGCCTACTGGAGGAAAAATAATAAATTGCTTTCTTGTTTAATGTGAAATTACAAAGTCTAATTTCCCTTGTATTTCAGTGGATATATTTAAGAGCCTTTGTGAGTCTTTGTGAACATGACTTGAAAGCATTGCCTGAACAGTGCGCACTGTCAGCCTGTACCATGGCCAGAGATTTCCCCACCATCCTAGGCTTGCTTAGCAGTGGTTACACACATTTGACACGTGTTATTCTGCTAAAAACAAAGGCTACTGATCTTGCAGATGGGTTTTTTTCAGGGGTGGCTGTTGATAAGCTTGTGATTGCAAAGGATTGCTCTGGCAGCCTTGGGTTGGAATAGTGGGGAGTTGAATTTAAACAGGTGGCTGTGCTCATCTGCATGAGAGGAGGAAAAAGGCAAGGCAGGAAATCAAAAGTTTCAGTTCTTTTCATTGCCTAAAAACTACCTGGTTAACAGAGTATAAATATTTCAGTTCTCTGTCTTTCAATGGTTTGTCTATTTTTCAATATCTTTGAGCACTACCATTTAAAAATCAGTTTCTCTGAAGGATAGTTCTCAGCAGATGTCATTTCCCTCGTGTTATAAATGTGCATTCTTACAAAATGCATTTTTATCCTTAATTTTCATTTTTGCTCCAGGGATTTTCCATTTCATTCACTGTTGTCATACAGATTTGTGTTGATGGATGGACAATCTGTGGAGTTTCTGTTGCATGTCAGATACAGCAGTATGACCCTCAGCTGCATTATTCAGAACCTAGTTTATGTAGAGGAAGGTATTATTTCCTTTGGGATTGTGACTGAATTTAAGAAACATAGTCATTGAAGTTATTTATAGCTAAATATTTCCATGAGAGAGAAGAAAACTCTTATTAATTATTGTGACATTTGATTTTGCAATGCTAAAAGAGAAGTGCCGAGAGAATACACAGATTTGCTTATCAAAATCCACAATCAGAAACTACAACCTGCATTTCTCAGCTTGATCTAGTGATTGTGCTACATTTCTCGTGATTATATTGGAACAGAAATTACGGCTATTATCCAGCAATAATCACTGAAAATTTTAACTTGATTTTACATGTTGTGTGTAACCAGCAAATAGCATCAATAGTTATTCAGTGCACCACATCTCACAGCTGGCTGCGAAGGAGTTATCAAAGCTTGGCTATTACTGGCCATAAGCTAAGCAGAAGTTTCCCAGAGCTCAAGGCTGAATGTTGGCCCATATCTTCATGGCCAAGAACTGGGGGATTTTTAGTCCAAACTCGTTCTCTTTCTCATTCTACATGTGCAGAAAAGCAGAGTTGGGGTAGTTTGTATCGGGAATGAAGAGTGATCACATATAGAAATTATTTAAATGGCTATATAAAGTTAAGAGAAAATAATGCAAATGTAATGGAAATCTGGGAAGTAATGGAATGATTCAAGAAAGGCGGATTTGACTACCTATATGTCCTCCTTTTGCTAAATAATGGGAAAGCGTAAAAAATAAAATAGCATTTTTAAAAGGTGCTTTTAACACTGACAAGTAATATTGAAACACATAGCTGTTAGTGGAAAAAGAAAAAGAAAAGACTTTACAATATATGAAAACAACGTCTGCAATTAGGGTAGTGTAAAATTCATGTATAAAAGCCAAAACCACTCACCAGTTGGAGTTTGCGAGTTGACAGAAATATTTCCTGTTAAATTTCTGCAGGCAAGTATGTGCTTGAAGTCTTGCTAGATCCAGTGCTCATGTAAGTAGGGTTTGCTGGTTGTGCTACTTAAGGCTTTTGCTTAGAAATCTGGGTTTATGGAGATTAAATATCAACCTCCATCTGACCTGCTTTAAGTTATATCATCAGAGCCCTTACTGTGATTACCTTGGCAAAAAAAGGGCCAAGCAGGCACAGCACAGAGTTTTAAACCAGGTATTGCTCTAAATGTCCGTGACCACGATCAAATACCGCTTTATTTCTGCAATATATAATAGATATCAGACTTTTGTTACATGCACTGTATGAACATCTATACACTATGCCCAACATGATATATATCTGTGCAAAATATATCAATTGATTCACAAACAACATCACATCAGAACAGTATTAATGTTACCTGCTTTATTTCCAGCCTATAACAACTGGGATATAAATCTGTTTAATTGCAGGGGTATTTTTTGTTAATTTGCTTTAGAAACCTGTAGAAGGGGCTAATGACTATTTGTGATCGAGAAATTAAGTTACTTTACCAGATATAGCTTCCTAAATGCATATCAATAACAGTGGAAAAGCTGTATAGAAACCTTGTGTGCCGTGGTCCAAAACTAGGTTGAATTTATTCTTTGAACATCGCACATCTCAATCAAATAACTTATTTCTTTGAAAAACTTGGCTTACTTTGTAAAGATTCCTAAAGACAGTTGTATTTTTGACAGAATTTTCTTTCTTATGCTTCAGCTTGAAGCGTCTTTGCAGATCGAGAAAGAATTTCATTTAAAAGCTCAAACAAACTGGCAAAAATATATTATACTGAAAAAAAAATAATCATTCCAAGTATTTGTGTGGCTCAAAAGCGTGTGACTTCAGGTCTAGCTCTTAGTTTGCACATGATTAGCAGTGAAGTTGCGTGGTGTCAGCTCTGCTCTGGTCTCCTGACGTTAACAATTCAAAGGAGCCCAATGTGGAACTGTCATCCTGGAAAGGAGACCTGCATGCTCATCTCAAGCAGCTAAATAATGTAGGCGTCAGGTTTAATCTTACTCTAAGTCATACCTGTTGCAAACGAGATTAAAGCTGACTTTCACAGCTGTGCCCAAGCCTGTAATTCCCTAGGAGAGGTCTGCAAAGAGTAGGGTGAGCTTTGGACTAAGGATCTCCAGGAAGGACAGGAGGAGACCGAACCACTGAGCTTTCCTGAATCCCCAACTTGGTCCTGGAAAGTTGCATTTGTTGCATCCTCTGGGATGACTCCCAGGAAGTAAAGGAGCCTGTTTGAGCGCAATCACATGTCTTAGATTCATTAACCTATTTTTTAAAATACTTGATTCCCTCAAGAGTTTCCAGCATCTTTTAGAAAAAGAAATCCAGCAGGCCCCATATTAATTATAACCCAACAATTTATTAATAGGACAGTAATGAAGTTTCTGAAATTTGATTTCTTAATCAGGGATCATTGTTATTTTTGTGCCAGATTTAAGAGTTTAATTTTGGGTGCCTCTTCCCAACCTCTGAAATTTTAATCAGAAGTTTCAAGTGTACATGTCAATGAGAAGTTAAAGGCCAAATTTAATAACATTTTCTACCTTGGGAAATTAAAAGAAGAGCCTCACTCTCTGAAATCTATTATTAACAGTAGATCTTAATTAAACACAGTTACAGTCCTCAATATTTTGCCTATGTGGAAATACCGGTTTAAGTGTTTTTTCCTTTTTTTTGGATTCACTATGTCCAGGATATTCAATAGTTAGACTTTTAACTATGTGTAAATAAGTTGTTTACTGCAGAGTATTTGTAATTTTTAATTAAAGCTGCGCTCTTCCCTGGTTTCATGGTTTATCATGGCAATATATTTTTATTACCTACTGTGCTTTGGATTTTAAATTATTTATGTAAATATATTATTGCAGTATTTATTCGCAGTAAGTGATGTGACTCAGTGCTTCAGAAATATCTTCACAAGAGAAGTTCATTATAGCTCTAAAGCATATCTAATTCATTAAATATAATTAAAATGCAGTATTTGAATCAGGAGAATTTAGAAAAGGAATCCAAACTTCACTGAGTTTCACAGAAATTCAAAAAAAAATGCCAAGTACTTGAAACAATATATGTAACTTAGATACATATGCATATATATGTTTGTGTATATAGAATTTTCTCCACCTGAACCTGATTCCAGCTGGACAACAGCCTGTCTATTGACTTTGTCATGGTACCTTCAGGGTTAGTGGAGTTGGCTGATGCCCATGCAAATGTTCCTATATTTGCTGGAAGTGGAAGCCTGATTTGCTTTGTCTGTGTCCAAAAAATGAAGTGGCTGCCCAAGCTTCTGTAAAATAGTGCTGAAATAGGATTTATAGTTCAGCAAGTTTCCTCC